TTAACAGGGTTGTTTTTATTCTTATCCCTGCCCAATCGAAAAGTCGTAAACCTGTTTCCATTCGGGACGTCAAGGTAATTACCAATTTTATTTATAATGTCAGGTAAGTTCTCGTTTTCTTTGTATGGAATTCCTTGCACCAACAAGTTGTTTTTAAGTTCCTTTTGTTCATTTTTGTTTAACTGTCGCTTAATTTGGCCGAGTTCATCCTGTAATTGTTCGTTTATTTTTAATTGCTCGTTATATTTAGTAAATAATGCCTTATATTTATTATCCATCTCCTCTAATTTTGCCATGACATCGGCCAGAGTGTAATCCCTCTTCGCCTGTGAAACAAAACCAGGACCATCTTTGGTCTTACATTTGCCACAAATCCAATCATCATTGGATTTACTTAATTTAAGATATGTTTTATTTGACATTGATAAGCATTCTTTATGTTTTCATATGTTGCACTTATCGCATAGTAATGCTTGACAATCATCAAGAACATCCTTAAGACATATGTCGCAATTTTCAGTCTTGGTTTTTGGCATTTTAATGCTGATAGGATAATCCGTAAGTTACGGCAACTCCGCTGGAGGTTCACAGCAATAGCCAGCCTCCCAGTGCCTGGTGTCAACGTCTAGAAGCGCACGGGTCAAAGTACAATTGGCGATAAATGTCGTCCAATTTCGGCGATTTGAAGCAAAAAGAAGATCTTAGGCACTATAAAGCAGCGTTATTGTTCTATGTACCGTAATGCTCGGATTCATCGATAGCACAGTAATTAAATGATACTATTTAACACTAATTTTGGAAAATATTTGCAGAACGATTCATAAACACAACTTGACCGGTTATGGGCAACGTTGCCAGTGAAAATAAATATATTGAGGTTATGGTCATTTTCTGAATTCAAGGTCGCTTCTTAAAGTAAAGCTCAGAACCAGCCAACCGGATCAGTAGCGTTGGTCGGCTGATCGCTACACCTGGAATTAGAAGATGGGTACGAATCATGGATACTGTACAAACGTCGATAGTTGATATTTATATCGTGATGTTCGATCGATTTTATATCGCTGTTTGGGCAAATGGTTCGTGGATAGTTTGTTGCTCTTGGAAGAAAAATGATTTGCCGTTGCTTACGCATGACAGTTTAGAGCTGAAAATCAGGGTTGCTGGATTACAAAAATCAGAGATGTGTGTTGAAAATTATAATAAATAAAGTCAGTGATTATGTTTACTTCATCCCATAACAAAGTGCTTATAGTGGTAGTTTCAGCAAAAAATATCAGTATTGCAACAGCATAAAGTTGATCAAAAAGTAGATTTAAAAAATAAACATGGTTCTTAAATTGCCCACTTACCTAGATAGAGGATATTGAAATTATATTCTAGAAAGCGAATAAAAAAATACTGATGGAATGGATTAAGATATGATCTTAAAATTTTGTGCATGTAGTACTGACAGCCTAGCCGATAGATACAAACATTTCGTGTCTGAGACTGTGCCAGTGATGCAGTTGTTGAGAAATTATGGCCCCTACAGAAGAAAAAAGAATTTAAATCTATACCACACCCCCTCCCCCCATGAAATGTTTTTCCAAAACCTCACAGAACAGTGTGAAAGTACTTTGTCACGAACTCTGAACTAGGTGTACACCTGGCCAATGCTGTTTATTCACAGCCCACCAAATATGTAATATCTTTTGATGTTCATTGAGGTAAACAGATGAGTAGTAGGTAACTTATTTTTATGACATCTGTACTGTTGGTAATAACAAATCTGGTAAAGCCCAGGACCAAATTAAGGATTGGCATAACCAATGAAAATTTGTTTACACATACATGCTTTCTATGAATGAGAATTTTGGCAATCAAATGTTTACTGCTAGTTTGGGAATTTTAAGATATTCATTATAAAGTCACAAGAAATAATTAAACCCAATACCTTCACTAGCTGGGCAGCTATGACACACACTGTGTGTAATCTTCTCTTCAGCCTCATTAATGGAGATTGTCACCTGATATCCTTTTTCTTGGATCTTATGTTCTGGAGTTACTCGGCACTTTACAGTACATATTGATCCCTCTCACATCAGCTGGACAAATCCGATAGCTTCATCCCCATAGGATTGCCTTCCACTTCTAAGAACAAAATCGCTATTAAAATATACTTCCTCACAATGGAAAAAGTACCCACCTTTGTGTTTTCACATTTCTCACATTTGCTTTGACAAAGTCTTCATTGTGTCGACAGTATTCATGGATCATCTCGTAATCTACTTTCGGTAAATTCGAGGAATCGGCTTTCACGAGGTTTTGTCCCATATTTTAATTCTATCTAACGGCGCATCCAGACTATGTAACAAAACATGTTATCTAGAAAAGTTTTGTAACTTGTTAGAGAAATGCAAAAACAAAATGTTATATAACACAGTGTTGTACAACAATTATTGTGTTGTATAGCAGGTTATATGTTATCCATTCGATGTCGGTAAAGATCAAAGAAAGTTGAGGAACTTTGTTATAAAACGCGTCTCGACTCGTCCAAACTGGCAAATATGTTATTTAAATATCCACTCTGGTGTTCGGTATTTCGTCTAACTAAAGCCGTCGACATAGCAGGTTGCATGATTTTGGAAGTAATAAAAGTGAATATATAGTATTTACGCTATGGAATGGTCGAAAGTATTGACCACTCATTTATGATTATTATTATTATTAATATTATGATAATTGAGATGAGCAGAGTACACAGTACGATAAGCTCATGCAGTAAATATAGTGTACGGACACGTAACACCAATACATCAAATAGAAAAAAATAAAAAAAGACAGTTCATAGCTATAAAGTTTGTACACTCCTCCAGCTATCATACTGCACTTTGAAGCTATTAACTGAAGTAGCACCAACCATACTTTCAGATAAACTATTCCAGGTGTTGAATATGCGGTTGGGAAGAAACCACTGTCGGGCTGTTGTTTTAAATGGCTCCTTATGCAGTTTGAAGCTGTGTCCGCGTAGATTGCTGCGCGACAGACGGTATAGATGCAGGAGGTTGGTGCCCATCAAACCATGAAGTATCCTGAACGTAACTATAAGATCGCCACGAAGTCTTCGCTCAGAGAATGAGGTTAGGTTGAATAATTCAAGGCGATCTTCATAGCTTGGTCTTCGTGCTCCAAAAGGGATACGAGTAGCCCGACGCTGTACTGATTCGACGAGATTTCTATCGCGCAGAAGCACAGTGTCCCATACCGGGCCAGCGAATTCAAGAATTGGCCTCATGAATGCCTTGTAAATGTAGGCGCAAGTGTTGACATCGGATTCTTTGAAAGACCTCTCCAGCATGTATAGAAGTTTCTTGGCTTTTGATGTAACGTGGTGAATATGCTCTGACCAGAAAAGACGATCGTTGACTACAACGCTCAGATCAGTGTGGCTGGAAACTGCTTTGATGTTGTGGTCAGAGATCTTGTATGTAAATCGCGGACTTGTCTTCCCGAGGTGAAGGACACAACACTTAGTTAGATTTAAGGGTAAAAGCTAACTGACTGACCATTGACAAACAATATCAAGATCTCGTTGAAGCATAGCAGAATTTACGACAGTATTGTAAATCTTGGTGTCGTCGGCATAAGCTGAACATGTTGACGAAATCAATGCGGGCAGGTCACGTATATACAGAAGGAACAGCACTGGCCCCAAGACAGACAGGAACTCCGCTTGCTGCATGATGAAGATGAGACTGGCTATCACTGACGCGCACAGAGAAAGTCCTCCCGGTGAGAAAAGCCTTAATCCACAGCAACCACTCGCCTCTTATTCCCATACATTCCAACTTAAACAGAAGCCTTCTATGTGGTACGCGATCGAAAGCCCTAGAAAAATCTAAGTAGATTATATCAACAGGAGTCTTAGTGTCCAGATACTGAGTCCAATCGTTGAGAGAGTGGAGAAGGTTGGTCATTATTGATCGACCAGGGAGAAATCCATGCTGATTGAATTATTCCGTGAAAAATCCATCTTATGGGATTTTACCCATATGGAATATAAAAATAGAGATAAAAAACACGACGCATGGACTGAACTAGGCAAAGAATTAAAAACAGACAGAACTGAAGTAGAAAAAAAATGCGTATGCTTATTGGACAGTTTCAGCGCTAATTGAAGAAAGGGAAAAGTGGAGATGGTGCTGATGCGTTTTATAAAACAAAGTGGATGTTTTTTAAAATGATTTTATTTATAAAAGATAAAAATGAGCCACGTCATTTTAGTGAAGGTGGTGTGGCCTCCAGCCAAGAGACCCAATCACAAGATACCATATCCCAGGTAAGAATAATTAAAAGAAATTAATTAAATTATTAGTCATTATCCTCCCACGATAATTTCCCCTCCTCACTACAAAAAAGATAAAGAAAATTATTCTAGAATTTCTTTGCCTATCTCACTAGGTTTCCTAGGGATCTTTTTAAGTCTCAGGAGAGTATCACTTGGCGGCAGTACGACTGTCCATGTGCCAGGTATTAGTTCTCCTGTGAGCATGTCATCTGAATCAAACGTTCCCGATGGAAAATAAGATGCAGACGACTGGCCTTTCCGTAAAAAATTGTGCAGATAGCAGCATGCTAAAACGCCCCTTTCAGCTTTTTCAGGGTTGAGATGTATTGGTTTAATAACACCCTGAACACAACAGACAAAATTCCAAATGCATTTTCTACAACGCGTCTTGCTCTGCTGTGTCTGTAATTGAAAATGCGCCCTGGTAAGCCTTTGTCTTGAGTCCCTGGGAAAGGTGTCATAATATGCTGCTGTAGAGGGAATGCCTCATCAGCCAAAAATACAAAAGGTGTGGGTGACGATCTTCCGGGTAAAACTTCCATTGGCGGTAGAGTCAAGGATGACGTTTCGAGTAATTGTTTAAATGTCGTGTTCGCGAATACTCCGCCATCAGACAAACGCCCTTGGCATCCCACACTCACAGACGTGAAAGAGTATTTAGCATCTACTATAGCTAAAAGCACTGTGCTAAAAAATTCTTTATAATTGAAGTAGTCACTGCCAGTGTAGCTTGTAAACATATATGTTTTCCATCGATACTCCCACAACAACGGAGATAATTCCACATCCTGTTGAAATCATTTGCAACTTGTAGCCTTTCCTCCCGACGTTTAGGCATCTAAAAAACAATGTGCTTTATTATTATATACATTTCAATAAAATTTTGTTTTATGTGAATATTGTATAATAGAAATGAGGTTTTAATTTTATCTTTTAGCATGATGAACAATCACAATTCAAATCTGAGATGGAGGCTGATGATAGAGGTGACTGCCAGGAAAAAAATGTGAAAAAAAAGTTGCACGTACATCTGCAACAAAAGGGATGAAAAGAAAAATGGATACGAGATCTGATGAAGCTTACGCGGTGATGAAACACCTGTCAAGCAACATAAAAAAGCGCGATGACTTCGATGTTTATAGGGAATATGTAGCGAACACATTACGCAATCTTCAAAACAAATCAATTGTGGCCTCTACGAAATTTCAAATTAATACACCTGGCCACACCCACATGGTCTACTCCATCTACTCCCTGCCCTACTTCATTTTCAATCGACAATCAGTCATGTACTGAAGATACTAATGAGGAAGACATGACTTTTAGCCAACTATTAATGAAATTATAAATGCTTTTTAAGGATTTCATTAAATCTGGTTAAATAAAAATAAAAATCATACTTACTTTTATTTTGTCACTCAAACAGGCAATGAGCGCGTCACAAACTTCTGGCACAATCACAGATACACTTTGAGTCGAAAATTTGAATATATAACTCAAACTTCGGTAAGAATCTCCGCTTGCCAAAAATCTGAGTCTAACGGCCAACCTTTCTCCTACAGGAATTGGATCTCTAAATGGTGTCGTCTTTTTGCCATTTTATGGCCTATTTGATTTATCAAATATTCAAATTCAACACTTTTCATTCTGGCGAAGTTTTTAAAACTACCGTCACATCGAATTTCTCCAGTTAATGGATCTACGTCATCTCGTGCAACGTCTGCTAACGACGGTCGTACCCAGAATCTTCGCTTGAATTCACGTTTTTTTACACAAAATAATAATAGCTTAAATCGCGGTATCAGTTCTGAATGGTTATGAACCGTTCGCGCCTGCGCAGTGTCATAAACAGCGTTTGCGGTACAGAGAGAACCATCAGTGAACAGTTAGTTCAGCGATCGCGGCACCGATTTGACCGGTTCTGAATTAGTCCTGAACTGGTTCTAACAGTTCCTGAATCGGTCGAAGGACGCAGAGTTAGCACATGCGTAGTTATCGATTATGGGCAATTTGAACGTGATCTACTTGTTTAGTTGTGAGTAAGAATTTTTAAACAACTTATTTGATAGGACACGTAGCAATGTCTGGTAAGTTTTTTACTGCTGTTGTAAATAAGCGAATGTATAGACTAATTTTACAAATATCAGTGATGCATCTGAGCACTTCAGCTCCAGCGATGATGATTTAGAAGAGACCTTGGACCTCATTCGAATACCAAAGTGTGAGGGATATTTTGAAGACGTTGTTCGGCAAATGCCAGACAACGTATATTTTGACCACTTCCGTATGAGCCGGCAAAAAACAGAGTATCTTGCTGAAAAATTTGCTGTATCACAATACTTTTCAGTCGGCAGAGAAGGTGATTCAGAGAAAATTAGCGCACTGAAGTTTATAACTGTTTTTTTATGGTATGCTGGAAATGAGGCTTGTTCAAACAGAGATGTAGCCGATAGATTCAACATATCATTAAGCAGCTTGCACAATATTATAAAACGGCTTACGTATTTTTTGAGTAACCTTGCCCCAGAAGTAATAAGATGGCCAGATGAAGAGCAAAAAGTCATTATAAGCCAACATTTTACAGAAAATAACTTCCCAGGTTTGATAGGTGCTCTAGATGGTACACACATTAGAATTGATAAACCATCACAAGATCCAGAATCGCACTTCAATAGAAAAAGTTTCTACTCCATCCAAGTAATAAATATTGCAAGACTACCCTACAGTATCTATAAAATATCAAGTTACAATTAGATTTTGATATAGAATTAATTGTAGGCTTTATTTTATCATGACGCATGCACGCACAGAACTATTTTACAATATTTTTTTAAGCATGCATGTTCAGGGATTTGAAAAATTAATTCTTATGGTTTATTTTTTTTTCCAGGCCCAAATTGTGTGCGACCACAAACGAAGAATTCGGGATATATTTCTGGGATTTCCTGGCTCTGTTCATGACAGCAGAGTTTTTTCAGCATCACCTCTTGGTGATCATTTGGCAGAGATGTGTGGACAGTATCATCTACTTGGAGTCAGTGCTTATCCATGTCTGGTTAATTTATTAACACCTTTCAGGGATAACTGTCACCTCACTAGGCGGAAAGAAAATTATAACTATTTGCTTGCAACAAATAGGTATATTATTGAACATTGCTTTGGAATTCTTAAACAAAAATGGAGAAAATTGTATCACATAAAAATGCACAAAATTGCAGATATAGTTCATTTTATTCGAGCTTGTGCAGTCCTTCATAATATATGTTTGAAAGAGACAATTGTTATAGTCCCTGAAAATACAGAATTGCCAATAAACCAGGTCCTTGATAATACTGTAGATGACAACAACAGGAATGGAAATGAGAGGCGATATGACATCATGAATCGTCTTCCTATAATATTGTAAACGTCTTACAGAAGACCTAAGGGTTGTTTAAAAAATTGGAGTCAATTCCTCTAACAGGATCAGAGATAACTCGTTTCAAAAACATTTATCTTCCTTCATATGTGAACTGGAAAAAACCATAAAATTACCCCATTTTTTACTGTTATTCTCAGCCTATATGGGAGGATGAAAAATGTTTTTACATAATTGATCACTGAATAAATAGGCTATTGATCTCATAAAATGGTTCAGTGAAAAAAATTTTCAGTCTGTGGAACGGTTGTTGCCCTCGCACTATTCTCTTGGATTACATGAAACCTCAAAATTAAACTTTTTGACTAAACATCTAAAAACTGGACATTCAAGGCTTTAGATAACTTGTAAAACCTTAATATGATCATTTTTCACAGATACAGCACTTCACTAGAATTTAAATTGCTATTTGATCCCCTGATTGTTCCCATTAGTGCATTATTTTTCATGTATGCATTCATTTTTGGTTTATTCATATTGGATAGCCCACAGATCAGTACCTGAAGTGATTTTGGAAATAAATTAATGTTTTTCATACAAACTTTATTTTAAATTCTTATGGAGCCTGTAAACGGGCAATCTTTTCGTCAAAATACATTGCTATAACTGCACCATATGCTGCAACATTATCATATACGGTTGCTATTGTTACTACAGCAAAATTTCTATGATTATATTGCCCATTTAGTGGCTCCAGTATATAAATAACAATAATTAATTTTTTAACTTTAGTACTGAGGACTCTATTTTTCTCTTTCCAATCTGCCTTCTTAAGAGTATGTTCCTCTCTTCTGCCATATTTATCTTTTGTTTTTCAACATCTAATCGCTGCTTGTAGAACTCTCTCCTATCGTTTCTGATTTCTTGTAAAATGTTATACTTCAGACGTTTATTAGGATACGTTTTAGTTTTGTGATGTTGGCGTCGTGGTGTTTCTTTGGATGAGTGTGGGGTTAATAATTGCTCCTCTGGTGATTCCAATGCAGGAGTGTTCAGCATATCAAGCCTGCTTGTATCAGATATCTCGGGTTCCTTTAAGTGTTCTACCGTGTTACTTGATAACAGGAGCACTGGATTGATATTCTTTTTGTCCACTAGTATGTCGGCCATTATGTCCACATACTCAAAAAAGCCTCTACCCCTGCCTGTTTTTTTATTATTGTCACAAAATTTTTTGTAATTTCTTTCCAATACCTTCCATCGATTTTCACAGTTTGATGGAGCCACGTTCTCATTGGTTTTCTGGTTGATCTCATTGGCAATGGATTCGTACAACTTTTTTAGTTTTATTTTCCCAGCCATCAGCAATTGCTTATATTTCTTATATAAATCCAAAAACAGTAACGTATTCTGTCGTGTCCATTTATATGAAACCTCTGCATTTTGTGATTGCCACTGTGATTGAATTGCAGAATTACCTTCTGTACTGATTATTATGTATTCACTGCATCCTAAAATAATCCAGATTTAGTTTGTTTGTATGATTTTTGTTCAACTATAATTCTTACCAACACTGTGAGTATTTTCATCACCCTGGAGTGACATAATTTTCTTTCTTTTCCCGATTTCCCAGTTTCCAACTTAAAACCATAAAACATAAATCAAATTCAAGCGGATAACCAAATGGAAATGGTATTTACCATTTTGGGTTGGTATTTACCAATCCGTTCAAGCGAGTGTAGTTATCAGTTTGGTTATAAGATCCGTGACGTCACGAATCAGCTGTTATATGTCATAGTTATCACCGCAAAATTGTGGTATTTACCCAACTCAAGAGTAGTTTTATATTTCTGGTTATTATTTGAAATGTGACAAGTTAGAATTTTGCCGGGTATTGGATATTGTTATTGTGCTTCAGCTTCATTTTTGAGAAAATTGATACAGGCTGACTTCAGTTTTACCATAAAGTGGAGCACCTTATTAGTTATACTCATTACGGTTGTTGGGGACACTTTAAATGTAGTTCCTATGCTTAACAAAGTATCCTGTGTAGCCATATACCACAAGAATATTAAAATATGGCCATATAAACTCACTAGATGATATCCACCTGTATACGGTTTTGCTAATTTCTTTTTTCATCATTTCTGCTGAATCAATAAATGTTTTCTTTGACATGCGGAAAAATTTAGAGAAATGAAAGTTATCATAGCTACAAAGCCATGGTTCCATCATTAAAAAAAAAGAATCTGAAAAAAACATTTCTCCCATGAATATTATGAAAGGTTTCTTATTTAAACTTTCCATATACAGTTGTAGACGAAAAAGTGATAATAAAAATAATCAGAGATTATATACGCGCTTTTCTAAAATAAACAACTTGCAACAAAACCGCGGTTAAAACCAACGCGTTCAAGCGATTCTTGTAACTGACGTCATCAACCCGTGTGTCATCTTGAACCATATTATAACTGCGGCACATAACACAGAAATTTTGGTTATTCGCTTGGATTTGATTATACACTAAAAACCGCATAAAAACAGTGGAGATTGAGGAATAAACGACGAAACGACAGTCAAAGACTTTTCATGTGTCAACACTGTGTCAACGTCAAGCGCAAAGTGTTAATGTCAACTGTCATAGGCATAGAGCTGTCATCGCCAGTTTTCATGAGATCGCGGTACCCACAAAATCCTGAACCAGCACTGAACCGCGCATGCGCAAAGCATTGAACTTTGCTAGTTCTGAACCGTTCGGAACTGGTACTGTATTTGTACCGCGATTTAAGCTAATGCAAGCTGCCGCCGCCATTATAACATCCTCTACCGTTGATGCCATTTTCGATACTGATCTGCAAAAATTTGTGAAGTTTGTTATAACATTTTGTTATATGGTCTGGATGCGCCTTCGAAATAACAAAAGTTAAATGACCTGTTACACAACAAAGTTGATAACAAATTTGTTTTACAACATTGCAGTGCAACATGTTTTGTTACATAGTCTGGATCCGCCATAAACAGCTCAATTCCAAATCAGTCACGGCACCACTCTGCAGAAGCAAAATCACAATAGCAAAGCGTCAACAACGCCACAATGCATCACAACCTTTAAATTATCTGTTAAAAAAGCAAAAACACGGAACGCAAATACCTACGGACGATTCTGTAGAACAAAATGGGAATATGTAATGTCCTTGTCACACTGTAATCGTCGGACAAATAATGTAGTCACATTCTACGAAGGGGGCGGAGAAAATATTGATACCTCAGGCCACGATACACATAAATCAAATCCAAGCGAATAACCAAAATTTCTGTGTTACGTGTCGCGGTTATAATATGGTTCAAGATGACACACGGGTTGATGACGTTAGTTACACAAATCGCTTGAACGCGTTGGTTTTAACCGCGGTTTTGTTGCAAGTTGTTTATTTTAGAAAAGCGCGTATATAATCTCTGATTATTTGTATTATCACTTAATAATCGGTGCTTTTTCGTCTACAACTGTATATGGAAAGTTTAAATAAGAAACCTTGCATAATATTCATGGGAGAAATGTTTTTTTCATATTTTTTTTTTAATGATGGAACCATGGCTTTGTAGCTATGATAACTTTCAATTCTCTAAATTTTTCCGCATGTCAAAGAAAACATTTATTGATTCAGCAGAAATGATGAAAAAAGAAATCAGACAAAACCGTATACAGGTGGATATCATCTAATGAGTTTATATGGCCATATTTTAATATTCTTGTGGTATATGGCTACACAGGATACTTTGTTAAGCATAGGAACTACATTTAAAGTGTCCCCAACAACCGTAATGAGTATAACTAATAAGGTGCTCCACTTTATGGTAAAACTGAAGTCAGCTTGTATCATTTTTCTCAAAAATGAAGCTGAAGTACAATAACAATATCCAATACCCGGCAAAATTCTAACTTGTCACATTTCAAATAATAACCAGAAATATAAAACTACTCTTGAGTTGGGTAAATACCACAATTTTGCGGTGATAACTATGACATATAACAGCTGATTCGTGACGTCACGGATCTTATAACCAAACTGATAACTACACTCGCTTGAACGGATTGGTAAATACCAACCCAAAATGGTAAATACCATTTCCATTTAGTTATCCGCTTGAATTTGATTATACACTGAAGATAGGATATTGGTCATGTGGGCGGAGCTTCGTGATGTCACCCGGAAAGTTGTCGGCTCGTGATTACCAGCGGCAGGATTGTCGTAACGTTACTGCAGTTCACGTGTATCGTGGTTAATACTATATAGTGCGATTTGTTGGTGGTTTTGTGACCTGTTCTATTAGTTATACATACTTTATATACCCTGTGATGTTAGTAAATTGATAAAAATGCAGTGGGAAATATATCATACACAAAGAAAAATCAAAGTCAATGTAAAAAGCGCTAGGGTTTGCTCGAAGCACTTTTGTGAAAGTACCTATAAGGTCAATTTGAAACATACTCTTTTGGGTTACACTCCTAAAGGATATCGTGCTCTAAAAGATGATGCCATTACTATGGAAAATTTACCCAAGTCTCTATCATCACCTGGACCATCTACATCTGTTGATAGGTAAAAGCGGAAAAGTGCTTACGAAAAAAGGCAAAGGGCTCAACTTATCCCCTAGAGTTCAAGTATAGAATAAGGTCATATATTTTGGGGCAAAAGGAAGGCGCATACTCAGAGTATTGCAGCGTAGATGAAGAGGATACTCCGGACATTCCACTAACCGCGCCATTAACGAATAAACTGAATGCACCTGAAGTATCAGCTGACTATAACGAGGAAGTTTTAGTGGAAGAAATCGATGAACTCGAGTATGATGGGCCGAAAAATTGGGCCGGCTTTGTTTGCCATAAATTGCAGGATGAGAGGTCGAAAAGTTCCTCAAATGAAACTTACTCCTGGATAGACCATCTTAGTGAGAGTAGATTATCAAAACCTTCCACAGCTTTCATGAATCAAATTGAGAAGCTTAATAAGGTGTTTACTAGATTCAATGGGGACGGAATAGTGACAGACAGGCAACATATTATAGGCGAACTTCTGCTGAAGAGCAGCAACATTGACTGCCCTGAAAAAGCTAAGAAACTATTTTTCAGGTCAAGGATGTTCTTCCGGATTAAAGAACTCAGTAAAAGTTTGAAAGACCAGAAAAATCGTGACAAGAAATGGAAAAAAATTGTCGCATAGACTAAGTCATTGCCATTTATTGTTATACAACCAGCTTACTGCAAAAAGATGATAACTCCATTTTTCTTCTTTTCGAGTTGCGTACATTTTCACACTTGCATGTGGTTAGTACTTAGGATGTCCTGTGAAATAAGGATGAATAAATGTAGTGCAGTATTAACGTCATGAGCATGTTAATCCTGCTCCACAGAACATACTAAAATATAGATAATGTAGAAAAATCTTGTTTTTATAGTAAAGTGACGATTCACGCTCTATTGTGGAGCTAGAAAGCCGTTTAAGCTATAACCTGTGAGATAGGAATTACAAGGTTGAGATCTTTTATTTAAATCCGCCATTTTATTTTGGATAAAATTTTAGTGTAGATTGTGTCAATCCTACCGCTAAGACGAATCCAATGACACCTCATATGTGAAAATCTATCAAGCCGTTTGAGCTGTAGCCTATGAAATATGAATTACAAGGCTGAAATCTTTTATTAAAATCCGCCATTTTGTTTTGTATAAAATTTTAATGTATCTAGTGTCACTCGCACCGCTAAGACGAATCCAATGACACTTCATATGTGAAAATCCGTCCAGCCGTTTGGTCTGTAGGTGAAAATATGCACGTTATCCATATCAACCCAAATGATAATTACTCTCCGCGTGACGTCATGCGCGTCGGCGGACGAAAATGGAACAGCGGAGCATCCGGCACTGCCTCAGGCCTTATTACGTCACACAGTTGGCGGAAAATTTATTATATATATACATGTTTATATATAGAACTTCAATTTGGCACCAAATATTTTTTTTTGAAAATATCTCATTCAACCAGCAACACCATCGACTTTAAAACGAGGATAGACCCAGCAAGTCATTCATAAAACTACATTCGATTTGTTGGCAACATAAACAAAGCACAAAGTGGTGGCGAGTGGCTATGAGGCTATGAGGGAATGAGAGTGGAACAATAAAATGGCCGCCGCATGAGAATTCAGGCTGTGAAACCTAACGTCACTGAAAACTCTATAATCAAATCCAAGCGAATAACCAAAATTTCTCTGTTATGTGCCGCGGTTATAATATGGTTCAAGATGACACACGGGTTGATGACGTCAGTTACACGAATCGCTTGAACGCGTTGGTTTTAATCGCGGTTTTGTTGCAAGTTGTTTATTTTAGAAAAACGCGTATAAAATCTCTGATTATTTTTATTATCACTTAATAAACGGTGCTTTTTCGTCTACAACTGTATATGGAAAGTTTAAATAAGAAACCTTTCATAATATTCATGGGAGAAATGTTTTTTCAGATTTTTTTTTAATGATGGAACGATGGCTTTGTGGCTATGATAACTTTCAATTCTGTAAATTTTTTCGCATGTCAAAGAAAACATTTATTGATTCAGCAGAAATGATGAAAAAAGAAATTAGCAAAACCGTATACAGGTGGATATCATCTAGTAAGTTTATATGGCCATATTTTA